GAGTCCCGGGGGGGGGGGGGTCCGCACACATGGCAGGCTGTTTTGGAAAGAGAAAGGTGTGGCAAGATCCACAAACTTCTCTGCTGGACCTAATCTTTTGTTATCTGTAAATGGTTACATTTTACATGCACTTTCTGCAAAATAATGCACAAAGGAATCTTGGCACACTCCGGGTGTGTGTGTGTGTGGCTCTTAATGTGCAAAAGCTGAGTGGATTGAGACCACATGGGTTAAGACCGGTGCCTTCAAGTAACTTGAAGAAAAGGCAATAGTCCTACAAGAAAAGAAAGTTTACACAGAGGAAGCAGAACATAACATTTCATCATGTAACAAAAATGCTATAGGCTTACAATGAAAATAGAGACAGCTGGAGATGGAACATCCTGTCACTGCAAACCTTTTCAGCACAGCTGAGCAGACCAGGCCTCCTAGCCAATATCTGGCCAGCTGAAGACCAGACAAATCATCTTGCTGTTCTGGCTCCAAAGAGGAGAAAAAGTATACCCTCCTGTAGCCTCATGTTGTGTTCTTTTATAGAAGAAAATCTGTTCATTTCATAAGTAGTGAGGGACCTCATGAAGAGGGTGTGTGGAGGTGGAATAACCCAAACGTACTGGAACGAAGTCTCAGTCCAGTGGCACCTTTAAGACCAACGAAGTTTCATTCTGGGTATGCATCATGTGTACCTGAAGAAGTGTGCGCAGGCACACAAAAGCTTCTACCCAGAATGAAACTTTGTTGGTCTTAAAGGTGCCTGACTGGACTCAAACTTGGTTCTATCGCTTCAGACCAAAACAGCGACCCAACTGGACCAAAAGTACTGTGTTACCTTTTAAATTTGACAATTCACTGTGAAAAACAGAAGGAAGGCACTTGTGGTACTTCTCAGTCTGCTTGCCAGCAGAACCAAATATATGCCCCAAAGCTCATTGCCAGAAGCAGCCAGTGGACAGTATGTCAAGACGAATCCACATGGAGGATGTGCTGCCCCTCGGCCGCAGGCCAGTCCAGCTTCTGATGGTCCCCTGGCCCTCTCGAATTCTTACCACGTGGTGACTGTCTGCAAAATAAAAAATTTTCTCCAGCAAGCAAAAAACTATCACCTTATCTGAATCTCTCTTATTTCAAATAATTTCATTATCAGATTACATCTTGCCAGCTAACCAACCAACCAATGTATGCTACTCTGCTAATGCTAAAATAGCAGATTTTCCCCTGTGAAAATTTTAAAAGTGCTGACAGCCCTTAGGGACACACGTGGGGTGTGATGACTGAGGCTTGGCTTAAGTCTGTATGATGCCTGGGCCTTCGTGCTGCCCGTGGAAAGCCGTTTCCTGCTCTGCCTTCCCCCTCCCTCCCCAGCTCTGCTCCCAGGGGGTGAACCCTCCCCCCCACAAAAATCATGAGGGGGTGAAGTAAGGTAGGGTGGGTGCGAATGCAAACACAGAGAGAGACAAGTTGTGCAAGCTGAAGAGGAGGTTAAGTTCAGACGCTATTTTGTCTATTAACTAATTAGGTAATAGGATTACCATGCAATATCCATATCACTCTCTAGCCCCTGCGTAATTCCTTTTTGTGTCGTTTTAATAATTAAATTGGGCTTCCTATATGTTTTGGTGGCTAACTGTAGACGAGAAGGTTAATTTATGTCGCCATCTTTCATCAGGAAATGTCATTTTTTTATTTTTAATCTAAAGATCCTAAATAAAGCACCATATCAAGCCACTTTAAATTCCAAACATTTTGGTTTTTTACCATTCAAATCCCAAATGCAGATTAAAAAATGATTACTTTTGGTTCCAGAGTTAGCGTTTTGAAATATAATACATCCCAAGGAAAATGTTCGTGAAATGCTACAGCAATAAGTACCAAATGTATTACCAGGCTAATGAACTGGACAGTGGGCCGCTCAGGCGTTGCATGGCGGGGGAGAAGAGCGGGAGTCCTGCCTCCCTGCCAGAGTGAGACAGAGGAAGGCTGGAGGCTGGCGTCATTCACACGGCACAGGAGAGGCATGAGCCTCACTTCGGAAAGTGCGAGGAGGGCAGAGGGTGAAGTCACACACCCACGGAGGCTGAAGTTGCTCTGGGTTACTCATTTTAATATTGATGCAGTCTGCGAGGTTGTCTGAGTACAGAAGGCATCTTGCTTTACACAAACAGAGTCAGAACATACTCACTGCAGATGTCAAACAAGTTCTGTTGAAGCCTCAGTGGAAGCGTGGACTGTGGAGCTCCATGAAGCTATGGACAAAGTTACCCTTTGCCAACCGCTCTCGCCCTTGGGACAAAACCCAGCCCCTCGTCGTGCACCACAGAGCTGAGTGATCTGAAAAGGGCTGGGAGATGTCTAGAAAGAGCGCTGGTGAAGAAATCATACTGAATCTGACAAACCATGCTATAGAGCTCACCTATGGAGTGGTGGTGGCAGCAGCAAAGGAAGGGGGTGTTGGTGATGGGAAATGCAGTAGATTGAGAAGAAAGAAGACATTTTTAACACAAGAAGTCGTTAACTTGTGGAACTCATTGCCACAAGCTTAGGGAGCTTGGACAGATTTAAAGAGGATAAGTCTATCAGCAGCTAGTCAATATGCAGACTTCCCCCCCCCCCATCAAGTCACAGCCCGCTTATGGTGACTCCGTAGGGTTTTCAAGGCAAGAGACATTCAGAGTTGGTTTGCCATTGCCTGCCTCTGCATAGCAACCTTGGACTTCCTTAATGGACTCCCGGATGCAGAACAGATTGGCTTCTGCCCCGCTAAATACACTCTTTATCACTACATTACATTTGCCCACTTGATAGAGAAATACAGTGGCAGAGATGGGGAAAAGCTATTCTTGAGCTCTTGGAAACACCTAAATTGGCATATTAAAGGAAACAACATTGAACAAATAAAATCTTTAAGATACCTGGCTGTTACCTTTCAGTATGACAATAGTTGGATAGCACAGCAGTTAACTGTCAGGTAGCCCTGTCATAGATCTGGAATGCGGAGGGGTGCCCTCCTTCTTGTTCTCAGCTCTACCCTGCTCAGCTACTGTGCGCTATCTTGTACTTGACCTACATGGCTGGGAAAGTTAACGGCTTTTCTGCTATGCTAGCTTGCTT